TCATACTTGCCATTTTCTCAGGCTAGACGCATTTTCAAAAAATTTAAACGAACTCGGCGTCAAACCCGAAGATTTTCCATAACATTTTTGAATAATCCAAATATCTTCTGACTGAAATCCCTGCTTTTGTTCCTTCAGGCGCCATAATAAGTTGCTAATCATTGAATGTACCTGTTAAATGTTTTTTAATTGACATAAGATGCTTCAGAAGTTCAAGAAATCATTACAAATTGAATTGGATCATGTTCTGCCTTGAAATATTTTGGGATCAGAAGTCATAACGCGTCGGCAATGCAAAGAATGTTTTGGGTTGTTTTCCTGAAATATTTGCCATGATTTTCGTGCATTTTTTGGAAAAATTTGGTCTAAGCACCTGAAACAATCGAAAGCTTTTCGGAGGGAGCTCACACAAGGGGAATGAAATTAAAAATGCACCTGTTCCGTTCGTCGAGAAGGAAAAATTGGAAATTTTCAGCCGCTCTTGACGTGAAAGCGACGAAAAAAAAAATCATTCTAATTTGACGTTATCTATCGAGTAACGTCCAGATTGTAGAGTTAGAAGTAAAAAAAAAAAAAGCACCTGTCCTATCCGCTTTTAGTTTAGGCTGCTCATTTTTTGCTCGCCCTCGACCCCATGTTTTTCTTCGACATTATGAATTTTATTACATTTCAGAAGTACTTCATCTGGTCCGGACGTGTTTTTTTGGGTTAATTTAGTCGGTGCTTATTTTGTTATTTTCGGTTAGGTTGGGTTTAGGACAGGTGGGGATTGAGGTGATAGATGCCTGACACCATAGAAAGCCCAGTTGTCATGGAAAGAACAACATATTTCTTTCATGAAGAGAATGAGCTCTTGCATGTTTCATTTCGATGGACAATTTTTCTGCGCTCGAAAGCCTCGAAAAATATTTGAAGGCTACAATTCAGCTGTTTGGCGGCTCTAGCGTGGTTGTGACTTTGTGCCAAGTTTGTAGCAATTCGGCACGGATTCCGGATCCGGCGACCCGCGGTCTCGTGCTATGTCTTCCCCTTTGTCGTCACAGAACTTACGTTAAGAGAAGGGATTTCTAATCCAATTCAGCAAAAAAAGAAGAAGTATCTGTAACCTTTTGAGAGTCCCGTTCTGTCATCCATGAACCGGAACCTGACTTTTTCCTAGACACCGAGAGTTTCTGGTTCTTTATTACATGACGTTGTGACACATGTCGCACGCTCCGCGAAGTCCGCCGAGATTTATTTTTTTTTACCCCTTTTCGCGGGTGCTACGGGTTATTTCTTTGTTCTGGTTGCGTTCCGAGGACTGAATGACGGGTTTTGTGTTCTCGCAGGAACCCCGCCGTTTACTGGCTCTGACACAATGCGGACGTATAATATCATCCTGAAGGGTATCGACGCTGTCGAGTTCCCGCCGAGGAACATCACTCGACAGGCCACAGCACTCATCAAGAAACTTTGTCGGTGAGAGCTAAAAGCTTTCATTGTTTTTTCGCAAGCTTTATTTTTTCGGTTGAAATAATATCAACATTTCGTGTTTTTGTTGACCCCAGTGACAACCCCGGTGAGCGGCTGGGATATCAGCGTGGGGGAATCAAAGATATTCAGAAACACAAGTGAGTTTCGGATTTTTTTTAATCTTCAAGAAGTTTTGAATAACCTTGAACGTTCATCGTGGGAATTCCAAAGTGCTGTGGATATGAACAAAGTGCATTACTTTCTGAGGGGGTTTATTTTTTTTTATTGTCGTTTTCTGGTCATTTAATTGAACATCTGTCGCAAAGCTGGACATACTCAACGCAGGGAAAAGCGTTGATTTTCTTTTTAAAATTATCAGAGAGATCATACAAGTTTGATTCAAGTTTCCTGGATTGATTATTGCTGCTAAGGTAAAAATGCTGTAATACATTCTAAAATTAGACCCCATTCAAATAGCTTTCGAATTATATCCACCTTCATAAATAGAGATGCACGTTTTTGTCACGCGCGCATTTAAATGAAATATAGTCGCACCTGTATAGATATTTTATCTATATTTCTTCAAACGCTTCGGCAGAAATGACAACGCTTAAAAATATCGTTATGACTTATTTCCAGATGCGGTTTAAGTTGATTTTGGTCATTTTTTCTCGGTTTCAATGAAATTATTCAAATTTCTGGATTTTGCTCCGAATTATTTCAGTAGAAATGAAAAACGTCCCTCGAAAATAGGATTATGTTTTGATCAATAAGTGGATCTGACGGGGCTTGTGGAAGAAAATTTAACTTTACTGGGTAGACTTGTTACTCTTGTATTTCTTTGTGCTTATTGGAAAATCCATTTCGCTCGAAAATGTGGTGAGTAGTGACCTGAGAAAAAAAAAGTTCGGTTTGAAGGAATGATCATCATCTTGAAAAATATTTCAAATTTCTTTAAGTAATTTTGATGCAGAAGCATATTTGCTGTAATGATTTTCATTTTATTATTAGTGACTAGATTTCACCTATATCAAAAGAAGTCCAGCTTTATTATTGGCTAGTGGTTCTTCAAAACATTTATATTCACGCGTGGTGAATCTTTCTGATCGTAATGCTCTCTAATGAAAGGTGGTTCGATGGGTTCAACTGGGAAGGACTTCGGGCCTTGAGCTTGAAACCCCCAATGTTGCCCACTATCCGGTCCGTTACCGATTCATCCAACTTCGACCCGTACCCGCCTGACACGGACGGCCCGCCACCCGACGACCTTTCGGGTTGGGACGTGGACTTTTGAATCGCAGCAACGGCCACTGAGGTAATTCGATAAGATCCCGTGCTGTACTATATTCCAGGTACTGTGCAGTACTTTGATACGACAGGTGCCTTCTTTCTGGAAAAAATGCCCGGGACCGCAGGTGGATTTATTAATTCACCTGAGCATGACGCTCGAGGTCATTTGTGCCGAAAATTAATTTCATTCTGTATCTGAAAACAAACTGGGGGAGTTACGTTTTATCAAAGATAATTAATCGGATCTCACTTCAACACCTACTTCATGTTTATTAATTCATGAAAAATTTTCAAAAATTTCGGGGATTCAGATCCGAAAGCAGAAGGACGCTCTCTTTTCAGATAAGAAACTATAAATTGCTGTGGGAGGATTGTAACCCAGAAATTCGATCCTTATGCACATTGGGGCTCCGAGATACGGACGTAATTGGCGTTTGGACTTTGTCCCTATGTCGGAGCGTCCGTATTTCGGGTCACGTTTTCCCGAAGACTTCAATGGCAAAATATTTAATTGGTTCTCCTGTTCATGAAAAGTTAGGAATAAAGTCCCCAAAAAAATTAAAGAAAAATGCTTTTCTCAACTTCAAAATACGGAAAATAACTGCTACAAGAAAACCACACCGAAATATGATCTTTCGGGATGAGACAGAGCTCGAAATGCAAAAACAAGAACAATTCTACCTATACTAAATGCACATATTATGAAAAAAAACTGTGAAAACAGAAGCCCGAAATCGGCCTGTTTTTGGTTATGAATTCAGGTGATTTTATAATGGAATCTATTTTTAATTTGTGTGAATATGAGTAGCTCGATTTGATCAAGAAATATACAAATAAAAATTGAAGATTTTCATTTTTCTAAAAATTCTGGAAAAAATCATGCATCTCGAGATATTGTCTGGATTCGGGCAGATTTTTCAGTTTCAATAAGTCATACCTTCTGTCATGGGTCCATTGGATTCCAGACAAAGGAATTGAATTGTGCAGCCATCAGAATGCAAGTTTTGAATAAGAACTCAAACTCTTTTCAGAGGAGTTCATTCTCATTGCCCAGTTCATCTATTGACTGTTAATTGAATGGTTGTAATGGCAGAGTCAATTTTAACATTGGTTGGTTAGCTCAGAATATTGAATGAGGTAATTATAGTTGAAAGGCCCTTTAACGCTAGGTTCTAACTTCTCCTCTCAAAGAGGAATGAAAGTTTTTACACCCAGGTGCTTGGACTGGGTCAGGAAGAAATCAGGTGGATTGGCCAATTTAGGAAAATCAAAGAAGTGATGACCACTTCTTGTCCTTGAGTGAGGCTCAGTGAGTCTTGCAAAAACGGGATTTGCAACACCTTTTCTTGTCCAGTTGCAGTCTGATGCTGGAGCTGTGTTGTTTTGGTACGCCACACTTTCAATATATCCGAGTTACACCGTAATACTGTATTTAGTCACTCGGTCGCTATACGTGTCATTTCCGGACGTTTAGACCTTCAATTTTATTTTTTTTAAAGCTGAAAATAATTTTTCTTTCTTTTTTGACCAGGACGGATCGCCATTAGCAAGCAAAAGCCAACACGTGTCCTGGCTTCCGCACACGTGGCCTTCCGCCGAGCGGAGTTCGGGTTTCCTGGCGGACAATCGGCAGGCATTTTTTTGGTCTTTTTTCGGGAAACGCTCGTGTTTCATTTAGCTTTATCCCCGGCTCGTTATCCCTGTTCTGCCTTGTTGAATGGTCGCCTGAACCCCTTCGGATGTACCCGTCGTTCATTGGTGCTCATCGTCGTCCTACGTCCTTCTTATCGCTTCTGATTCGACAGGGATGAACAACCTGTCCGCGGTTCTCTTTCCTGGGTTCGTGCGCGTGAATGGAAATGAAATTTTATCCGCGTTATCGCTTTCGTTGCTCGGTGTAGCGGTCAGAAAGTTCCCTGTTGATTTCAGTGCGCGAAGACCGGTATTTTTTGTTCCGTTCGATAATTTTTCAGTGTGTTTCACCATCAAGACTCGTGTCCTGGATCCCCCAAAAAAAATTACTTAGCAGCTGAAGAAAGGGTTTGAGATTTCAAACCGAGTGAAACCGCGAAACATGCGACTTGCAATATCATTCCATGTTTCTTATTGCAGAATAACGCTTTTTAAGCCATTAATTTCAAGGATTTGGGAACTCGAACCTCCTCAAATCGATTTTTTTTTCAAGTCCCTGTATGAAATCCCTCAGGAACAATGCATTAAAAACCTCCTTAACCCCAATAATTTCCTCCTCAAACCTCTGTGAATCGAATTTCCCCGAAGGCTTTTTACTATTATTTAAGGACACAGTGAAGAGGAACTTAATGAAGATGTAACTTGTTGCCTTTCAAAACGAAGTAATGGACTAATTGGGCAAATAAACCCTTGCCTTCGAATTCAGCATATTTGTCAACTCATTCGTGACAAATTCAAGGCCCATAAAATATAACCAATTAAAATATCCTGCGATTATTTTCCCCCCAACAAAAATGCTTTTCCGAAATGGAAACATCCCCAACTCAATTTTTTGTTCTAGTCCCTTGAAGTTCGATTTCAAGAGGTTCTACCGTAATGGGTTGAATGTCTGTACTTTTTGGAAATTTCTTTAAACTTTCAAAGAATATTCCCGGTTGGAAAAACAAAACGTGTTGGACTATGATTCAATACCCTGGTCATATACGAGTCGGTACTATATACCATTGGGTCATTCAACATGTCCTCAAAAATATCCGTTGCTCAACTGATAGTACTTTTGAAAGAAACAAAAAAGTACGTTTCCCGTTGAATGCAAGTTCGCAACACTATGTTTTGCTCAATGGAGAGTGATTCGCGAACTTTTTCCAAACACACGTGCGTGCCTTTGCATTTTGAGAGTCGTTCAGACCGCTACACCGACCGTTCATTGTGGAGAGAAAGTTCGGCAGCTGTTCAGTGAAAGTCAGCCACGAGAAATCCCCATGAC